CTCTTACTTTTCAATGATATGTGAAAAAAAAAANAAAAAAAAAAAAAAAAAAAAAAAAACTAAATAAATTAAAGAATACCTACGAATTTCACAAATGCTTTCTATAGATACGGAAGAAAAAAAAGAAGAGCGAGAGAAAATAGAATTTCGTAAATGTGCCGAGTGGTTTGACAAGACAAGATATGCAAAATGATGAAAATTTTCGGGAGGTCACAATGAACTCCCGTGGCCTACCACCAGACGTCTCTGCCTGTGTTTACCTGAAAAGAACATCCACCTTACATTTCTTTACATTCACCCCAATGATTAGACAAGATTTGCCGATTAATGAAAATTTTGGGGTGGTCAAAATGACCTCCCGTGACCTCCCATCCCGACGTCCCTGCCTGTATTTACATGAAAAGAAACTTTACCATACATTTCTTTGCATTTACCCGAATGGTTAGACAAGGTTTACCGAATGATGAAAATTTTGGGATGGTCAAAATGACCTCCCGTGACCTCCCACCCCGACGTCCCTGCCTATATTTACCTGAAAAGGGCAAAAACGGATCAAATAATAATCTAGAACAGAATTTAATGGATATGGAATTGATTCAATCAATTATATACGAGAATCGTCTGCTTTTTAGTAACTATAAGGTGTGTGCATCATTATAATCTCTTTAAGGCTGTTTTTCGAAGCCTCTGTCGTTACATAAAGTAAGGCGTTTTTGACAATAATATGCTATATTCATAGCTGCTACGAGTTTTCAACTGTTGGCAAATACTCGACTAGCTAGGCTTAACTTCATTTACTATAGTGTAAGATCAAGTTAAGCCTATTTATATCCAATGCCTTTTATGCCCAATTTCAGAAATGGTCCAGAACGTCGATATGAATAAACGCAACAGTTTTGTGAATTGTTCTTTGATCTAATTTTTTTTTAATATTTGAATTGAATTGAATTGAATGTTGGGTTTAATGGCACAAAGTCCACAGAAGGACTTTTAATATTTCAAAAACTATTCCAATATTGTCTCACCCAAGTAGCACAGGGATATTATAACAGCTTTCGTCTACATCGACCGACATTGTCAATATTGGTGAAAATCGACATTGTGTGTACGATACTGTAAGATTCCCGTCGATTTCACATCCAAAGTCTGTTTGTAAAACTTTTCATTTTAAACTTTATTGTGTTCTTAAATCAAAACTAATCATTTAAAAGACAAAAAATGACGTCAAATTGTTATAATTCCAAAAAATAAATTTAAAATATGAATTTAGAGATATCCGAAATGCTGAGAGATATCGATCGACGTTCTCCAACGTTTTTACAATATCGAACAATATTGTTTCGCGATATTGAATATACGTTATAAAAGGGGTCCATTTTTATATAGTACAATGTTTCGCTACGATACTGTACAATGTTCAACGATATCGTATGTTTTTACGATATCGTTTTTGTGACTTGTGCTAGTCGGATAACTGGGTTTATGAAAATTTGTGAAAATTGCGAATTATTCATGGATTTTTAAAATAGAAACATCTCGCAAAATTCGGTGAATTTTTTTTTAAAAGTTTAGCAACCTTTAAAATGCTATTTGCCATTGTAAAGCACAGATAATTCTTTGCTGCCAGTTAGTAAAAATAGCTTATAATCGTAACTTTGCCTCAAGTATAAGGTGCTTAAACTGTGGTTCTTTTATTTTCGTAGGCGAAAAGCTTCGAGAAACCTTATGAACAACCTGTAGTTTGACATGATTGAAAAAATATTTCTTCTGGAGGATCGGAATTTTATATGTGTGCAACATCTATGAAAAAACCGAACATCATGCACCAACAAAATTTTCAATGTAAACACACCCACGCCTAAAGATTCAAAAACTCCTACATCTTTCGGGAGTGGGGGGGGTGTGAGGAGGGATCAACACCTCATTAGCATTTGAATCCTGGCGTCTGAGAAGATCTCCGTGGCATGGACTGTCGAGAGAAAAGATGGCGGCTGGGGAAGACGTTTATTAATAAAAGCGAACGCCTGGGCAATGGGCATCACATGACCAGGGTGGAATTTTTAAATAACGGTATTCCTCTCCTTCCCCCCTTTTCTATCGACGTCGTTTTTGTCGTTAGTCATCCTCTGAGAATGAGAATTAATATCGGGCGACTCCGGTCGTTTTAACAGAAAAGAAAAATGTGGAGTAAAGCAGTTGATGAAAAATAAACTGGATAAAAATAATTGTTTTTCGCCCAACTAGTATCAATTTAAAACATTTATGGTACTAGTTGTGAGGCGTGTTGTGTAATAGGGTTGTCATTTTGTTTGAAGAGTTCATGTTTTATTTACTCCAGTAAAAAGTTCAACGATTTCTCATGTTCAAAAAATTTTCTCTGAGAAACAATACAGTAAAAATTATTATTGAAAATTAATTATTGAAAAACGTATTATTGGATGAAAATTAATATAAAAATATTATAGGATAGATATCTGCATGAAAAGTATTTAAGATAAAAATTGTAATTAAAAAAAATATAATATTGTAAAAATTAGAATGAAAAATTAGTATAGGATAAATATTAGTGCATAAAAGACTATTAAGGTATGAAACTTTTTATGATAAATTGTCATAGGATAAAAATAAATACGAAAGAAAAGGAAATGTATGATAAAAATTTATATAAAAATGAATGGCATAGGATAAAAATTAGTATGAAAAAATACATTATGAGATAAAATTTAGTATGAAAAAGTTTATAATAGGATAAAAACTATTATAAAAATGAGTGTGAAAAGAAAAAAATGTATATAAAAAAATTTTATAGGATGAAAAATGGTAAAAAAATGTATTGCAGGATAAAAACTTGTGTAAAAAATTCTTAAGAAACAAGACTATCAAAAAATTTATTATAGTAATATATAAAAATTATTATGAAAAAATTCATTGTTTAAATTTCAGTTTTAAAAAAGTATAGAAAATAATAATTAGAAGGATAATTAGTATTATAGGATAAAAAGTTGAATGCAAAATAATGATAAAAACTATATAAAAAGTATCAAAAATTAAATACCTGTTTTAAAAAGAGAGTTATAGGGTAAAAACTTGAAATAAAAATCATATTAGGCTAAAATTTAGTATGAGAGAAGTATTATAGGATATAATTAGTACAATAAAAAAGCATTGCCGGATGAAAATTACTGTAAAAAGTATCAAAAATTTAATATCAGTTTAAAAAAATTATAAGAAAAAAACTGTGTGAATTTTTTAGCGAGTAAGAGAACTGATTGAATTTAAGGATACAAAAATCGAATCCGGCTACATTTCGCCAACAAACTGCAAGTAAAAACTTACGATATTTGGTACAAAAGTTTAAAAAAAAAATCAATTAGAGTAAAGCACTTTGTCTAACACAAATACAAAAGAATGTTAAATCAAACAAAAAGGACAAATCAAACAAAAGGAAAGGATAGATATCGCATCTGGGGGTCAAGAATGAGATAAATTTTCAAATATTAACAGCTAGTTAATTAAACAAAGAAACTTCATTTAAAAAGATAGAATGCTTGATTTTATCAACACTAATTTACCTCATTTATTTACAGCATTTAGCATATTTCTTTCATGATTCATTAACAAGTATGTTTAACATTAATTAAATAGCTGAACATGTTTATTCTTATCATTCATATTACTTCACACTACATTGCCAGTTGCATATGTTTCATCTAGTCATTACGCTCTTTATTTGCATTACCGAGCATTAACATTCCTTTCTCTTTTTACATTACCGAACATGTTTATTTTTATCTTTACTTTCCCAACCGAGCAATTTTATTCTTATCATTGCTTTTTCATTTACATAACCAAATATGTCTATTCGCACCTTTGCTTTTTTTTGTTTTTGTTTATACTGCCTGAAATGTTTATATTTATTGTTGCTTTCTATATTTACATTACGAAACATGTTTATTCTTATCTTGCTTTCTTTATTTACGCTACCGAATGTGTTTATTTTTATTACTCATTGGCAAAATGGGTGTTGTTTTGGGTTTGATCGCATGCGCACATCATTTGCACGTCGCCATACTTTTCAACTGTGTTCAAGAGTAATAGTAAACAGTGCGCATGCGCCATCATTGCATGTGTTGCTATGGTGACCGCTGCTGTTTGATAATTTTTTTAGAATTCCTTTTTATTTCACTTTTAATTTTGTTATGCATTAAGTTGGTTGGTGAGTTTATTTTTGAGATAGGGACCAGAGGGATCCCATAAATACTTCTTGAGTTGTGAATAAAAGAGAATTTCATCAATTGAACGATATTTTTGTTTTTATTGTTTTAATTAAGAATCAGAAATTCCAACCTACTGTTCAAACTGGAAGAAGAAAAAAATTAGACAAAAACCATTTTTTTAATGGGTAACCTGTGATTGCATTTCGGCGAGCACAATTTTTTTAAATATATTTTTTATTTCCCTCATTCACCCTTCCGAGAGCGCATATCCCAACCGTTACTTTCTTTTCTTACACTACCGAACATTTTCCTTTCTATTAGTGCTTGGCTATTGTTGAGTGGCGATATTATTTTCCATCAATGCTCCGGTGCAGTCGATTATAGCGTCGCTCACTCTGCTGGTGGAGATCAGGGGCTTGTGAGTTCGATCTTGGCAGCCGACAAAACAACCGTTGTGTGAGCGCAGCAAGGTGCATTTAAAATCTGTCATGGAGGAAAATATTCAAATCGATTGCTGATTTTAATTTGGGGGGGGGAGTACCAACTCAGACGTTAATCACGTCATCTGACTGGATTCAAATTTACGTGGCCTTTCTATTTCTTTTTAAAGAGTGAGTTCTTGAAAAAGGCTTAGTGCTAAACAAAATGGCTATGTTTGAGTGATATGGGCTCAATAATATCGTAACTTTCTCTGTTTATACTGCCAGACATGTTTTACGGAACTATTTAATTAAAGCGATGAAGTATAACTCCATATTTATCAGAACATTTTTTTATTTGTAGTGCCTATCATTCCTGCATATCTTTATGAGCTACATCATCAGCAAGATTTGAAGAAGCTAAACGTGACCGATCGTCCGACATCCTCCAAAACCACAGAAACCAATTTACGCGCAGAAGGATTGGTGGCACAAGATTTGAGAACAACAACACCATCGCTTCAGGAACTGTGTGATCGACTTCAAACTCCGGAGGACTCGAGTTCCAATGGTCGAAAGAAGCAAAGGGGTAGAGGTAAGAATGTCGTGACAACTACTGAAGAGGAAGAAGAGGCTGAAACGACGACAGAACCCGCGATAACGACATTGTCGCCAGAAATGAAAGAGCTGCGTCATCATGAATTAGTAGAAGAGAATGTGGAAGTGGGCATTATGTTTGCCTCTAAACCGATTGTCCAAGCAATAACAAATCCATTCATTGGACCGCTTACAAACAGGTAAACAATAATGCCCAGTTTATTGCAATCAAAAGTGATTAGAAATTTGAGTACTTGTGCCAGTTAAAATTGTACCTAGATTGAATACCTTAGTTAATTTATATTGAATAGCTTGGATAATCTACATTGATTACCTGTATTAGAAAATCTGTATTGATTACTCGACTTGCACCGATCACTGACCTGACGTAAAATATCCTCTTAGTAACCGTAAGTAATTAGCAGTCGCAATCCCACAAAACTGTCTGCTCAACGACGGTTATAAAATTAAAAAAAATCTATATTGGTATAAACTTACTCCTGAATTCCTTAGATAACCCATATTGAATACTTTAAATAATCTATCTATCTATCTATCTATCTATCTATCTATCTATCAATCTATCTATCTATCTATCTATCTATCTATCTATNTAATGGCAAGAGAAGAAAATTATTAAAAATAATTTTTCAAAAGTATTTTAAAAAATATAATTTTTGATATCTAAAAAAAAAATTAAAAATCCGGAAAGCAAGACAAAGAAAAGATATAATCTCTTCATCAGCCCACACGACTATATCCGCAAAAAGGAGTGCTTTCTAATATTGTATTAATATAGCCAAAGCAAAATATATCAATACAATAGTGTGATGAGCACTCAAAAAAATTGAAACGAAATTAGAACACAGTGGAACAAAAAAATGATGAAGCTGCATAATTTTTTCTAATGTTACACCCATATGCAGAAACCAATGCGTGAGGTCAAGTATAAATTAAAAGTTTCCATTTGTAGCATGAAATTATTATTAAAACACAGCTGAAATTTCTTAAATTATGTGTTTTTTTGCAAAAATTATTGAGTTTCTTCCTTCCAGAAAGATAAACACAATCTATTTTAAATATTGACAAATATTTCAAATCTTTCTTTCAGAATAGGATACAGCATTCCTATGTTTAGTGGTTTTGTAATAATGTTTGTTTCAACACTGCGTAAGTATGTCTTATACTCTTTTTAACATTGTATAAACCTCTCATTTTTTTAAAGAAATATCAATATATTTTACAGCAATCATTTCAAAGTTGTTTAAGTAGTTTTTAACTCTGACCAAAACGATTTGGAGTTTTGTACTATTTTTCACATTTACTTGATTAAAAATTTCATTCGCTTCAAAAATATACAATTTGGAAATAACAGTCGACATGTTTCAAGCACTCAAAAACAGGAGCTCATTTTCAAAACCCATTTAAAATTTTTAGAGCACTTGAAACATGTTGACAATTTGTATATTTCTGAAGCAAGTAAAGTTTTTAATCAAGTAATAACTTACGGCTTCAGTTTCTTGGAATTATTTACTTTTATAGCAGAAAGTTTTATAGCAATTATAGAGTTTAAAAATAGTGTAAAATATTTCAAAGTGAAATAGTTTTCATAAGTTTTATGAAACAATCTGATTGTATTAATAGCATATGATTGTCAACTAAGAAATTAAGCTTACAATGATCAAGTTTCAATAAATTTAAATAATAAATGTCCAATTTAAAATTGGTAAGCTTTTTTTTATCTCACTTTAAACGAACTAAATAGTTTTCAAAGCATAATTTTATGATAATTTATATTCCCACAGGGTTTAATTATAGTCAGCTAGTATATGCATCCGAATTTCAAATAAAATTGTTACACATTATTTATGATTAATAAATTGCTTTTATTTTTTGCCAACTAATGCATGCATTTTACTTTCGAAGCAAATTGTTTGTTATTCATTATTTTTGATAGGATAAGTTGTTTTCATTTTTTGCCAACTAATACATGCACTTTACTTTCAATGCAAATTGTTTGTTATTCATTATTTTTGATAGGATAAGTTGTTTTCCTTTTTTTGCCAACTAATGCATGCATTTTACTTTCAATGCAAATTGTTTGTTATTCATTATTTTTGATAGGATAAGTTGTTTTCAGTTTTTGCCAACTAATGCGTGCAACAAATAGTCCATGCAAATTTGTTTGTAATACATTATTTATGGTACAATAAATTATTTTTAATTTCTGCCAAACACGGCATGTATCTAACATTCCTTGCTAATTTGTTTGTCATTCATTATTTATGAAAGAATTATTTTTTAGTTTTTGCCATGGGTACGAGCTATCCAATGTTATTTATTGCCAGATCTTTACAAGGTGTTGGATCTGCGTGTACAAGTGTAGCAGGTAAGTTGACCTACCATAAATGTTTTAAAATCATACTTATTTTATGTTTTTTCAGAAAAACAGAAAACATTTTTGAAAAAAAAAATTTAAATATGAAGTACTACGAGTATTAATTTGCGTAAGCATTTAGAGTGTATTTCTTCCTTTTTATTGACACTACAGCCCTTTGTAGGTCTAAACTTTCTTTACAATCTTTTATTCATTATGTTCATTTCTTTGTAAGGATGTGGTCAACCTACTTATTGTCGAGGCATGCTTTTAATTCGGATAGCAATTGGTTTAAGATTAAAGACTCCGAGTATTAAAGAGGACGGGTCCCCCTGTCCGCAGATATGTCCAGAAAATTTACTTTAATATAGTTGTTATAGTTAAAGTGCATTTGCTTAAACTTATTAAATCCTTTTTATGAAGAAAATTTAAAGTGCAATGGTGTTGAGAAAAAATACCTCATCTTGAAATGTTCGTTTAAGAGAATTAAAGCAGCTTGAAATGTGTATTTAAGAATGCGAAAACAGCTTGAAATGTGTGTTTAAAAAAATAGAAATAGCTTGAAATGTGTGTTTAAGAGAATTAAAACAGCTTGAAATGAGTGTTTAAGAATATCGAAACAGCTTGAAATGTGTGTTTTAAAAAATAGACATAATTTGAAATTTGTGTTTAAAAAAATGGAAACAGCTTGAAATGTGTGTTTAAGAAAAGGGAAGCAACTTGAAATGTATGTTTAGGAAAATAAAAAAAATTCGAAATGTGTGTTTCTGAAAATGAAACAGCTTGAAATGTGTGCTTAAGAAAAAGGAAGCAGTTTGAAATGCGTGTTTAAGAAAAGGAAACAGCTTGAAAAATGTTTTTAAGAAAATGAAACAGCTTGAAATGTGTGTTTAAGAAAATGAAACAGCTTGAAATGTGTGTTTAGGAAAAAGGAAGAAGTTTGAAATGAGTGTTTAAGAAAATGAAACAGTTTGAAAATGTATGTTTAGGAAAATAAAAAAAATTCGAAATGTGTGTTTCAGAAAATGAAACAGCTTGAAATGTGTGTTTAAGAAAATGAAACACCTTGAAATGTGTGTTTAAGAAAATGAAAACAACCCAAAATGCTTGTATACAGAAACAGACATTGCGCAAAGTGCGCCTTTTTAATGTTCAACTTAACTTTAATAACTTCGAAGAATTTCGAACTTACTTTCTTTGAAATTTTAAACGCAAAGCATTATCATTATGAAGCAAAATCCAAGATTTCGGGATCGGGATGGCTGGGTACATTACAGATGTAACTCTTCATATTCAATGCACTAAGTGATAAAGTCGCTTAAGAAAATCTTAATTCGCAAAACATCAATTTAATATCACTATTATAAACTAATATATACGCTATTATAAGTATAGTAAAAAGAACTATTAACTTTTAAGACTAATTTTAAGAATGTACTAAATAATTCTGGCAAAATGGACAACATCACATTACGAATTTAATTGAATTCATTAGTTTACTCTTTAAAGGAATAATTTTAATAAGAGAAGTTTGAAAAAGAGAATAAAATGCTTTGTCCATTTTCTTAAACACGCATTTTGAGCTGTTGGCATAAAATCAGTTAAAATAAAACTTCCCGGAGATACAACAAGGGATATATTGGAACAGTTTTCTATTTCTAATTTAAGTGACTCACAACAAATTATTATCCTTCAAACTGTTATGTGTTCGAAAAGATTTTACAAAAGAAAAAGTTTGTGTACTCAAATGGTGTCTTTATACTGTTAATCCGACTATGTCGGAGTTAAAAGTTAAAATGGGAAAAGTGTTCCAACACACTCCTTTACACCAAGACCAAAATGTTGGCTTTTGAGAAGTCCAACATTTCAGAGGACCAAAATTTCAGCTGTTAATTCCATCCCTTCTAGCATAAAAGACAACAATACTTTTCGGCGTATTTAATAAAGCAGCCTGATTATATGTCATAATTCTAGTACCTTGTGGCTTGGGCTACCGTGACTGTATTTTAATTTGTAATTTCTTTTACCAGGTATGGGGATGTTGGCGGCTTTCTATCCAGATGACAGAGAAAGGGGAAATGCTATGGCTCTAGCACTCGGTGGTTTGGCTCTGGGTGTGATGATTGGTCCTCCATTTGGAGGAGTCATGTACGAGTTTGTTGGACGTGCTGCTCCTTTCCTTATATTAGCTTTCATATCACTCTTTGATGGATGTAAGTCAGATTCGTCTCTCATAATAAAGCTTTTTTTTCATACAAATGATGATGCTTATCGATGAGTGTGCAACAAAATGTTCACATGAACACTTTTCGCTTACACTTTTTTTAAAGTTCAAGCTTTAAAAATTGTCATAACCTTAAAATTTGGAAACAAAGTTCATTAGAACGCGTTTAACTTTAACTCTATCAAAGTTTTAAAAGTTTAAGTTTTAAAAATACACTCATTGACATAAAAATTCGCTCTTCAAGGTAGAATTAACAGAATGGATTGAAATTTTTACATACGAAGTTCTGCGTTGAAACTATAAGTAAGTGATTAAAAAAAATCAAAGCTAAATTACCATTTACTGCAGGAAAACATACAAATGAAGGGAGATTTGTATAACCTGTTAGACCAAGCACGAATGCACAATGCGATACGGTCGGACACAGAAACATACAAGTTCTTTATGATGTCCGGCGGCAACTCGTTTAACGGTGGCTGTGAATCCGTCTCCAATTCGAATAAACTCGGAAAACGTCCAATTTTCCGTCTCATGTGTTGCCAGATATGCTGAATTAGTGACAAATCTGGGGATCGAACAGGCCAAAGAAGAGTGGTATTGTGTCCAAGACAGTTCTCTGTGGGCCTGTGAATTGCTAGTTGAAATACAGCTCCTAGGAGCCCTGCCATAAGTGGCAGCAAATGTGTTCGAAGGATGTCACAAACGTACCTCTGAGCTGTCATGGCCCAGTTAATCGATGTGCTACTGGGAGCCATTTTTCTACAGGAGAATACTCGGACTCACATAATCAGAGTATCCTTGGACTGCTTCCAGCCACATTACCAGTCTTCCCTAGATAGTTCGATCCAAAGATTTATCGTTGATCAAATATATCTAGGATTAGTTGAGACTGCAAGATGGTCAGCCTCAAAGTTTAGTCGCATTGGAGGTTTGTTTACAGCAACTGTCCCAGATAGCAAAATAAGGTTTAGTTCCACTCAGCGAAAACCTTTTAGTGTAAACCTAAAAAGGTTTGTTATGCGGTTTACGTATAAACCTTCTAGCCTTAAGACGAGGTATGTGACAATCTGCTCTATTCTGCGTACATTGCCCTAATCATAAACCTTGGAAAGCAAGCTTCTATATAAAAACCTTAAATCGAGGTTGACCTAGGGTTTTCAAGTGTAAAAAAAACCTTTAATAAAGCTGGTCTTAAGGAGAAAATAATCTTAAATCTAGGTAATTATAAGGGTTCTTTTCGCAATGTCTTGGATGCTCAGCTAATATCCATCTTGTCATGAAATCTTAATAGACAATATAATTTGATCCCATCGCTAGTGTGACGTTAGCTAAAGCGTCATTATGAACCTAAGTGACCATTTTACCAAATTGAGAATACTTTTTAACAAAGCTTTAAAAGCCCATCGCCGAGATTCGAACCCGGGTCACCTCATTAGAAGTTGAACGTTCTATCCCCTGAGCCTACACGGCTCTCTAAAAAGTATTTGAAAATAATAAAAAATACAGTCTTTACATTATAAAGAGTATATACAATAACTTGTACGTCAAACATATAATGTTTACAAAGGCTGTTAATCTGCTAACAAGAAATTGAACACGTACTCTTTATCAGTTCAAACTTTAAGCAAATTACAATAGTAAAATTTCTTAAATAAAGTTATTTGAGCACTAACAAAAATGTAATAAAAATGACATAAAAAATATTGATTAGCTACTGAATAAATAAAAAATTGTGTTTATATAACTCCTGGTGGATTAATAAAAAGGAAGTAGAATCCCTATTCTGTCTTAAAATAACCCCCGAAGATTGCCTATCGATAAATAAAATATCCTGTATTGTTCGAAATTAAAATAAGCAAATAACATTTACATGTAACACCAATTAAAAAATTAATTAAAAAAATATGTTACGCTGATCAAACCGGGAAAAAAAATAATAAAAATGGCTGTTGCATGACCGTATGCATTCCGAGAGTAAAATTGCATATTTAATTTTAATTACGTATTAAGAAATCGTCTGATCGCATTCTCCGTTGCCACACATTTAAACGGCATACGTAAGTATTCCATTAAAAGCGATAGCTCGTTCGAAGCTCCAGTTTATGATGGAGGCGAGGTTCCCTCTCCTGGTGTGAAGTATGTCAGGAATTCGGGAGTTCCTGAGTCAAAGAGATCCAGAGTTGGGGAGGGGGGGTTAGAGAGAGAATAGAATGGGGAAAAAATCCTCCAACTCTCTCTTAAGAGCAGGAAAACATAGATGGATAGGCGCCAAGGCACCGGTTGAACTATTATATTTCGTTTTCATATCAATAAGAAAAAGAGAGAGAGAAAAAAAAAAAGAGTTAAGGCTGTAGCAGTAGTGGGATCAGTTTATGATATTGCATTGGATGTACCATAAAATAAGTAAATTTTGTATTAATTAAATACACCCTCAGTCCAAAATGGAAGAGAAAAACAAAGATATGAAGCTGTAGGAATGGTGGGAATCTTTTAAAATATATCGTAAAAAAGTAGATTTTTAATTAATTAACTTCGAGTTCATTAAAAAAATGATAAGAGCTGGAACGAGAACTGAAAATCTTGCAGAAGTTAGGATCGGCTGCATCCGATGTGTAATGGAATGGATAAATTCTGTATTAATTGACTTCGATTTCATATGAAACAAATAAGAATGGAAAAGAAATTGCTGACGCAGTTAGGATCGATTTATAATGCATCCACTATATAATGGAATGGGTAAATTCTTTATTTAATTAACTTCAATTTCATATGAAACAGATAAGAATGGAAACAAGAAAAGAAACTGCTGATGCAGTTAGGATCGGTTTATAATGCACCCACTTTATCACGAAATGGATAAATTTTGTTTAAATTAACTTCGATTTCATATGAAAAAGATAGAAGTGGGAACAAGAAAAGAAACTGCTGATGCAGTTAGGATCGGTTTATAATGCACCCACTTTATCTCGAAATGGATCAATTTTGTTCAAAATAACTTCGATTTCATATGAAAAAGATAGAAGTGGGAAAAGGAAAAAAACTGTTGATGCAGTTAGGATCGGTTTAAAGTGCATCCAATATATAATGAAATAGCTAAATTCTATATTAATTAACTTCGATTTTATATGAAGCAGATAAGAATGGAAACAAGAAAGGAAACTGCTGACGCAGTTAGGATCGATTTATAATGCATTCAATATATCATGGAATGGATAAATTTTGTTAAAATTAACTTCGATTTCATATGAAAAAGATAGAAGTGGGAACAGGAAAAGAAACTGTTAGGATCGGTTTATGATGCATCTCTTATATCATGGAATGGATAAATGAGCGCCAATGGGCGCCAATGAATATTAATTTTGGTAATCTTTATTAACTTAAGTAAAATAATGAGACTAATAAGAAAACTTATTGGCGAAATAGTACTAATTCGTTTAAAGAGAGCTTAAGCAATCGACAAACCACTATTGACGTCAATGATGTTAAATTAATTATGGTAATAGTTACTAATTGAAATAAAAAAGCTACGCATTAAAAATCAAAATCAGTGAAGACAATGCATTTATTCGTCATAAGGAATCACAAAATATCGCTCTACTATTACTGACATCAATGATGACCTCATTTTTGTAATAGGCACTACTGTCATCATTGATGCAGTTTTAATGGGTACCAAATATATTCTTATATAGGTACAACGTATTTTATGAGTAAATTTCATGCCGTATGCAGCCACACTAATACTGTACAATTTTGTGATGGAATTTTTATAGCTTTTTCACGATATTAATGCAGGAGAAAGTAGTTCAAAGTGGTAAATTTTTTTTTCATAAGTTGCCTCGAGCAACCACAATCAGCCAGATAATACTGAATGCACTCACTTGATGAAATGAACTACTAAATACACGTTTTGCTTAGTCTAATAACGTAAAGTCATCGGGAAGGGCAACCAATAATAATAAATAAAAAAAGTTTTGGAATTTTTTTTAGCTTTATTAGTTTAGCTTTATTTAGTTTTAATTTCTTACAGTTTTGTGTATTTTGTAGTGATGTTCAATACTGATTTATTGGTTCTTATTTTTTCACCGCGTACTAAAAACGAGTATTCAGCTAGTATTACATAAAAAAAGATAAGACGGAGAAGGAAATAAAGTTGTAGGAATAGTGACCCAAAATATATAGAATATTTCATAAACTATCAATTACGATTCAAATTCAAATCAAAATGTATATAGGATGGGAAAAAGAAATAAACATACTTTTTTTCAACGGTTTCAAATTTTCGACCCTCAAAATATGGTTCCGCAATCTAAAAAAAATACGGTTCTAATAGTCTGTTCAGGAAAGCTATCGAAAGTTTTGATCCCTTATTGTTACTTTTTCCTTCGTGCATTTTTCGCCGCAAGTGTTTAACATGCAGTTATATAATAAAATTATAATTCCATGGAAAAAATTACTTTTAGTAAATATTTACAATTATCTTTGATAATCCAAAAGTATTCAAATATTAACATCCTATAAATAAAGAATGCAATTTTAAATGACAAAATGAAAAATAAGAATGAAATCGGACTAATAGTTCTTAAGAAATTAAATTTTATTTATGCTACTTTTTCAAAAACTTGATAACTCAAAAACTATTCGACCGATTTTGTTTCTATTTTTCCCTCTCCCTGAAGTGTCACTTAAAATATCGTACAGTTTTCAGAAGGATTGTAATTTTTTTTAAATTTTGTTATGTATCATTTCAGTGTTACAGCTATTGGTTCTTCAACCTAAAGTAACGAAAGAAGAGCAAGAAGGAGCTTCACTGCTCACACTCATCAGAGATCCTTACATTTTGGTTGCAGCTGGTATGATTGATTATTTATAACATTAATTAAACACTTGCAAACATTCCTAATTAGGTACATGAAGCTCGAGAAGAACAAGACTGCTGTAATCATATAGTTAGGCATAATCACATGGTTGTGCATGGTACGGTAATTAGGCTTAGCACATCCGGCTGAATCGATTTTCAAATTATATTTCATCAGATAGCTGCAAGCGATGTCACGTATGAGTGTCGAACCTAATTAGCTGCTCAACGGTTGCATGCCACGATTTACCCACGTGAGACGTCGCTTGCAAGTATCCAATTGCATTCAAAAATAATTTTACTAAAAAATTTTTAAAAGTTGATTATTTAAAACATTAATTCAACACTTGCAAACATTTCTAATTAGGTACATGCAACTCGAGAAGAACAAGACTGCTGCAATCATATAGTTAGGCATAATCACATGGTTGTGCATGGTACGGTAATTAGGCTTAGCACATCAGGCTGAATCGATTTTCAAATTATATTTCATCAGATAGCTGCAAGCGATGTCGCGTATGAGTGTCGAACCTGATTAGCTGCTCAACGGTTGCATGTCACGATTTACCCACGTGAGACGTCGATTGCAAGTATCCAATTGCATTCAAAAATAATTACAATTTTTAAAAAAAATTTATAATAAGATAAATTTTTTGTTGTAATCAACAGAAATACAAGATAAGCTATAAAGACATTTATTACATGAAAATATTTTTATCCTTCATTTAACGATATTTTCCGGTAATACTGCAAGCGAAATTAATGTATATTTCAAATTAAAGGTTTCAAACTTCAAGACAATCTTAAAGAAAGTGTTCTTAAAGTAAGTTTCTAAAGTAATCCTAAGTTAGTTCTTAAAGTAAAGTTTCTGTAGTAAGTTCCGAAAGTAATCCTAAGTTATAAAGTAATCGTAAGTTAGTTCTTTGAGTAATGTTCGTATACCTAATTACTTAACATTTTACGATAAACATCCTTAAATGGGTATCTGAACTAAACTTAACAATATCATATTGAACGGTATATAAGCTGTTAATTTCATTGTAAGATGTGAGTAAACGGTGTCTAATCAACAATGCAATTAAAATAAAGAACATTAAATTGCGAAACTTTATTAGGAGAAAACTTTTTATACAAGTGCTAAAAAATATCTTTGGCTAGTAATATTAATTTCAATGTAAGATGTGCGTCAAACGGTGTCTAATCGACAATGCAATTAAAATAATGAGCTCTAAATTGCGAAAAATTAGGTCAAAACTTTCCATACAAGTACTAAAAAATATCGCTAAGTAAAACTGTTATAGTAGCCAAATATTAGGTAGAAAATTTAAAAACAAAATTAATTTTATATGAAGTTTCAGTGGTAATCATGAAAAACTTGAAATATGGTTGACTTGATCTAAAATATTTCAATCTTGTTAACGCATTTTATGAGAGAAATGATCTTAAATTGATTTTTGCAGCCACTTAGGGGAGAGTCGGGTAGCCCCGCCCCCTTTAGGAGTATTGCTTATATTTCTGTATAATATTGAGTAATAGTCAATATTTTTGTATGTTTCTATTGTTTTACCATCTAATTAAATAATGCAAAAAGAATAAACCAAAAAAGAATAGTTTAACTTAAAACAATAGAAATTTAAAAAAACATGTTTTCCAGCTCTTTTCAAAATGTGTCGGGTAGCCCCGCCCAGTTACAAATNAAAAATTATATAGAAATAGAAATTGATAGCGTGGCGGACAGCTGGCCGCCTTAGGCGTCTAGTACTGCAATAAATTGTAAAGACGATGAAGAAGATGAAGACAAAAATCACGAAGAAATGACCACACCTTCATATTATGAAATGTTAAAATCATTTGAAACAATTCAAGAGCAGACTATAATTTACAAGATAAAGGTGTATCAATTGCTATTTTAATCATGTATAGTGTTCATGAATTGAAAACCTGTTTTATGTTTGTTGTTTAAGCATTTCAAATGGTGATTTTCCGTTTAGCGAATTTTCCATGTAAGGAACTTTTTATCGGGATTTAGCAACTTCGTTAAAAATAGATCCGACTATATATAAAATTGATGCTCCAATTACAAGTAAAAATATATTTCGGCAATTTTTTTAAATAACAAAAAATTTTTTTTAAATACAGTCTAATAGTCACGAAAAGAAATCTGTTATTATCGGAAATATATTCGCATTAAAATAGAAAATCCAAATAAGGTAGTTTGAAAAAATTTTGTTTTCGTTTACATTCAGAAATTTAACAAAAATTGATTTTGTAAATTAAAGAAATTTCACTAATCAATAACTGTTTCTCTTATCTAAATAACTGCAAATTTGAGAAGTTATTGCTTGGGGGTAAGTGGTGTTTGGAAGCCGTGTTTATCTTTAACAAAAAAAAAGAAGAAAAAAAAAAAGACACCGATATTTTATGTTGTGTTTCATAACTCTAAATTATTAAAATGCTAAATATAATATTTTGTAACCATATATGGCAACGTTACTTTTAAAAAGTAACGAGTAAAAGTACAAGTATTTTTAANCTATAGCTGACATTACCGGCGGTACAAGTAACGAAAGTAAAAGTACTGCCATATATGTTTGTAACTCATATTGACCAAAATTAATACAAAATGAGGAAAAAAGTGTGAAAAATATGTTTAATAAAAATTCTGCGTCAAAGGGTTAAGCTATTTTTAACACTTCATTTGTTTAACACTTCAAAAACTGTTTCCACTTTTCTCAAAGACAGTGACGAGTAAAAAGTTTTAGTCTGAATATATTATAGTATCGTTAGAACTTAAAGTTTTTGCTCTGGTGTATACTGAGGACTGTTTTTAAAACTAAATAACTGATTAACTTGTTTCTGACCAGTAGCACGCAAAGAACTAATAGATAAAACGGAAATTTTCTTACCTATTTTGTACAACTTTCTTCAATAATAAATGATTTCTTAAAGCAAAATGTCCTTTTCTCAAAATAAACAACCTCATGAATTGTAAATTCTCTTCATCCACAGCATCTTCCATTTTTCTGACGGAAATACATCTTCCGTCAAGATTAATAAAATAACTTAAAGAACTATAATTGAGAAAACGGGAATGATAATTTCCTTTTCTTATTAATAGCGTAAGTAACCGTGGAATAAATGCTCCGAGTCTTCGAGAGAGGAAGTTTATTCCGGTAATCATAATTTGAAATGCGAATCAATAATTTTCTAATCTTCAGTTAATTGAAGTTTTTAATGCTTTTATGAAACCACGAAAAACCCCATTTAATCAAAAATTCGAATAACTTGAAGTAGTAGTAAGTAAATATACTAAAATGCTTTTTAAAAAAAAGTAGAATTTTCAAATAAAAACTTAAATGTTACTCTCTAATAATAATAATAAGTTAGTAAGTGTATAGTGAAAGTCTGTAAGCTTATTTTCCAAAAAGCACGGAAATACCCAAATATATCGTATATGGTTTTTAATTATTTTAGTTTAATGAAAATGTGGTACATATTTTAAATATAAATATTTCACAAATTAAAATCGAATCGAAAAAATAAATTTATGTTGTAATGATGCCAAACTAAGAGAGGGTGTCGAGTTTAAAAAGTCATGTAATAGGTTGCTCTAAATGTCAAACACGTCTGTTAATATTTCATGAGATATCTTAATCTCTGTTTTAACAATTTTTACCCCATTTTCGTGTTGTGATTGCAGCGCCATCTGTAAAGCAAAATGTTAAAACTTGTAGATTAAATTTTATTTTATGATCGGTATTGAGAAGCTGAATTACGTATATATATATATATATATATATATAACTATTGAGAAGCATTTTTAAATTACGACGTTCAATATCCAACCTCGTAGCATTGTAATTTCGGAGCACAACACAGAAGACAAGGATATTCCAGGATCAAGAATCAAGACAAAATAGTCTTCTTAAAGGACTTTACCCACATTTGTATTACATGGAGAGGAAAATCATAAGTACCTCCTACTGTTAAAATCTACGGCGAGGATATTCTGATTTATGATCCGTCTACCAATGAGGATATTTTACGTCAACAAGCGAAATATAAATAAAAGTGCGAGTCGGGAAAAGAATTCATCTGCATGCCACCGATGAGATTCGAACTTCGGTTGCCTCATTGGGAGGCGAGTGCCTTATTCTTTGAGTCATATGGGCCCAGGTTAAATTCATGTGCATTTTTTTTCCCTGGTTAACTCGAATTTGTAAAAGAGAAAGAGAATTGTAATTTAGGATTTTTCCATTGAAATATAGTGTTGCAGTCAACATTAAGACAATTTTTAATTTAAACATTGTGTTTTTTTGATTAAAAAACTGTTATAAAGTCTACATTGGAAAAATGTTTAGTTTAAATATTGTTCTTCTTCTTCCTGGGCACTACAGCCTATAAGAGGCCAAGGTCGTCCCAATAAGTTTTTGCCATCTTGATCTATTCTGTGCCATGGCCTTCCAGTTAGTTATTCCTATTATCTTTAGGTCCCTCTCAACTACGTCCTGCCACCTAGTCGGTGGACGACCCCTTTTTCTTATACATTCTGGTTTAAGAAAAGTTACCTTTTTTCCGGGGTTTCGGTCGTCAGTTCTATAAAGGTGTCCCAGCCATCGAATTCGATTGGCCTTTATGACATGAACTATGTCTGGTTGTTTATACTTTTTATATAACTCATGATTGCAAAGGTGTGCCATTTGTTATTCTCATAGACTGCACCAAAAATCCTTCTAAGTCTCTCTCTCTCAAAAATCAGCAATTTGTTCTCCTCTTTTTTATTATGTGTTCAGCACTCACTACCATATAGGATACCGTAGGAGTGTTTTGTATATGCTAATTTTTGTCTTTTGTTTAAGAAATTTTCTTTTTAGTTGGCCTTTTAAACCAAAGTAGCACTTGTTTGCCATTGCTGAACGGCTATCGATTTCGGTATTTATGTCATTTTTGCAGGTTGCAGTAGTTGCAAGATATTTAAATTCATCAACAGCTTCAAATTCATAATCATTCACGTGCCAAAACCGATTCCCCTCATTGGAAGGAAAACGCTGTATCCCCTGAGCTATCGTGTCTCGTTATTTTTATGTAAGCAACTCATTCATTTTCTTTTCTTTTATAACCGACGTTAAACAGCCCACACAATATTGGGTTTACGACCACAAATGTTCAACTCCGTAGCCTTGTAATTTTGAACCCGATTCGGAAGACGAGTATTGACAAGTATTAAGAAGACAACGAACTTTTCAAACAAATATTGGGAGAAATTTGCCTTTGTGGAGGACTTCTTGATGGAAATACGTTACATGGAGAGGAAAACCACAAGAACCTCCTACGGTTAGGAAGGTAACAAGGGGATTCTAACCCATGATCCGTCTACCACTGATGATATTTCACGCCAGCACTGTGGTCGGTGCGAGCGGGATGCGGAATTTTATCAACCAGCCATAGCTGGAATTCGAACCCGGGTCACTTCATTAGGAGGCGAGTGCTCTATCCCCTGAGCCACCATGGCTTTTAACTCATTTATTTGTGCGGATTGATAATCGTTTCAAAAGTCAACACCACAGTTACACATTTTAAGATTAGGAATAATTTTTTTTAATTTCAGGGGCCATAACGTTTGCCAACATGGGTATAGCGACGCTTGAGCCGTCACTCCCTCTTTGGATGATGGACACAATGAATGCCCCTAAATGGCAACAGGGGGCAGCATTCTTACCCGCAAGCATTTCTTATTTAATTGGAACTAACGTTTTTGGACCTCTCGGACACAGGATCGGAAGGTGAATAACATTATTTATATTCTAATTTAATTGTCTAATAATAATATTCTCTGTTTAAAAAATAAACTCATAAATTTACAATTAAATTTTTATTTTTCAATTAGTAGTACATGCATTATGAGTATTACATGCATTACCAAACAAGTAGTACATGCATTATAACATCAATTAGTAGTTCATGCATTACCAAATGATTTTAATTAAAGTCGTTTTCTTTAAATCAACCGTTTTGATCGATGGATATACATCTAATTTGGTATACACGTTTTATATGGACCATGGGAAAACTATTTTGCAATTAAAAATCAGCTCAAAGTTCTTTTTTTTCAATACGATGCTAACCAAAAATTGTGCTTGATTTAAAACATTACTTTGAGTTTGTACTTTATATTATTTTTTTACGTTCGGCGAAATCAAAGCCCAAAGTAAATGAATTGTTCGTAATCTAGGTTACTATACGTAATTTGAAACTTGCAAAGACAGCTTTCATCCAAAAAAAATATGATTTTACCTTGTTTACAAAAAAAGGTGAACGATTTGAAAAAAAATTTAGTAAAAACGGAAGGTGATTAGAAAAGTACTGTTTGCTGCGCTCTGCTTAGGGAACAGCAGGTTAGGTCCCATTGCAGATTTTAAACTACCTCTACTTCTGGTTATGTACTTATTAAATTCCAGAAGATGTTGATAACACTGAACGGCTAGAAAGCAAAATTCAACTTTAGTTAAAGTTTGATTTCAAACATGTTATCTCATTTCACGTTTTATGAAAGGTGAACAGTGTTTTTTAAAACTTCAAGAAACAAGTTTTTGAATTAGATTAGTACTCTTCTAGACTTGCAATTTGTGAAACACAGAGTGACCCGTAGTCACCATCCTTAATATATATTTTTGAACTCTTCGCCGAAAATGAGGTCAAATAATTCACGCACTATAAATCGAAAATTAATATTAAAGCAAAAAAATAAATAAAAAAATAATAAATCAAAACAAAAGTGTTGTCTATTCACTATTGAGGAAGGGTGAAAAAGAAACAATAAAATCTTTTGTGATTGACGCTTTGAATGAAAGAGAGGAGTTGTAGAAACACCTCTTACATTCATCGGGTAATCAAACTGGTTTTTTATTATTTTCATATCATCTTCATCGTTATTGATTTCTCAGATTTCAATAGCGTTTTTGCATCTTTCTTGAATCTTAATTTGAGATCTTGATGTCCAGACAATTTCCTACATTTTAACTACGATTCTAAAAATAAAACAGTAAGGGTGGTGATTATATGACACCGTGCAATACTCTATTCTGTGAATCAAAATATTTTATCAAGAATCTCATACAAAGTTGTATTTTCATATAGGTGGCTCTCCTCTATGATTGGACTCTTAGTGATTGGAGTTTGCCTTATTATGGTATTTAGTCTTATTTTACTTTTTTTTTCTTTACACACACCATAATCATCAAATAAAGTTTTAATATAATTTTTCAATTTTAAAAAGAATTATTAAAACATGTTTTTTGTAAATTTCTACTTACTATATTTCTATTATTCTACTTCTATGCTTATACTTAGTTTTTTTTTCTTAATACTTTTGCAGATTCCATTCGCAACTAACATAACGCACCTCATCGTACCCAACGCAGGAATTGGTTTTGCAATCGGTAAGATATCAAGAAGAGTGAAGAGCACGGGGGTTCGTTCCCCGCATCTCCACAATTCCATTTTCGCCGACCGGACTGTGTAGGGGTCAGGGAGCTTGCCTTGCATCAGAAAGGTTCTGGGTTCGAATCCCGGGCAAGGCATGGATGTTCTTTCATTCTCTGTACTATCTGTCCTTATTGTGGGAGCAAAGTTGGCCCACCTAATAGGGTACCCCTGAAAGAGTGGCCAACAAATCTGCTCTGTAAAGGCCTGAACTGACGAAATATTAACACACGTAGGCATTGGAAATAAAATTTTAAAAAATTAAGAAGATCCTGAATTGAATTTTTCAAATATTTAATGTTTTTAAGGAAATAAAATATTTTTTTCTCTGTGTTATTGATCTAAAAAGTAAGTAAGAAAAGTTGTTCACTTCTTTCAGTTATTTCGTCGTATATTTTGAACGGTATTTTATTTTTAAAAAAAGTTTAAAACTAGTGTGTTTATCCAATTTGCTTCATGTTTATTCAGATTTTTTTAAATTATGCTGTAATTAACGATTAAAATTATGCATACTTATTGATGTTTTACTAGATATAAAAACACGAGCATTTTACCTTGCTGTGCTCAGCAATTGATGTATGTTAATTTTTTTTATTCGAAATTAAAATGATGAACGTTTCGTAATACTGTGTTTAATAGCTATAATGATGTATGTTTATTCATTTTTTATTAGAGATTTAAATGCTAAGAAATTAGTCATAGAATGTTTAGAAATAAGAATATTATGCATTTTGCAATGCTGCATTTAGCAATTAGAATGATCAAGATTTTCGTTAAGCAGTATTTGGCTATTATGCTGTAAATTTAGTTAGTCGATTTTAGTGGTCATAATAGTTTAAATTACACAAAATAAAAAGGTGAGAAACTTAGTTATTCAAGGTGTTCACTTTTTTATTGAGTGCGCTTTACAATTCAGCTTTTATTTGTGGTATTTGTGCTATTCAGTTATATGTTAATATTATAAATTATATTTATTAGATAAATACACTGGACTTTTCATTTAATTATTGAGTATAACTAATTCCTTAACATTATATACTTGATTTGTTTTTTAACAAACAATTATTCAATATCTACTTTGAAAAGAAAATACACTTGCAGACATAAGTACTTAAATGTGATCTTATATTGATGACTAATTATTCATCTATTTTCTCTCAGGTATGGTAGATTCTTCCATGATGCCTATGCTAGGCTATCTAGTAGACATAAGACACACGTCTATATATGGAAGTGTATATGCCATTGGAGATGTAGCTTTTTGTGTTGGCTTCGCAATAGGTAAATATGCTTTAAAATTAATCAATCACTAAATGCACGACATAAGTTTTATTTTAAACTAATCAAACACCACATCTAAAATCGAGTGTGTGTATTATTACTTTGGCTGATAGATCAGAAAACAAGATTTCAATTTATCAGAATAACAATGTATCAAAACTTCTGATGAATTGAATGTATCAGAACTTCTGAATAAACCGAGACTAGCAGTATATCAGAGCTTCTAATAGGCACACTGAGAAGTGTGTCAGAACTTATAATAAACAGAGAACAACTATGATTCGGAACTTCTGATAAACAAAGATCAGAGATGCATCAGAACTTCTGATAAACTGAGAGTAAAAATGATTCGGAACTTTTGATAAATTGAGAGCAATAGTGTATCAGAAATTCTTATGAACTAAAAGCTGTAGTGTATCAAAACTTCCCTTAAACAGAAAGCAGCAGCGTATCAGAACTTCTAAGAAACTGACTGAAGCAATGTATCAGAACTTCTGATGAACTAAAAGAGCAGAAGTGTATAAATTTAAATTATACACTTATAGTATCAGAACTTCTGATAGGCACTGAGAAGTGTGTCATAGCTTATAATGAACAGAGAGAAACCATCATTCGAAAATTCTGATAAACAGAGATCAGAGATGTATCAGAACTTCTAAGAAACTGACTGCAGCAATGTATCAGAACTTCTGATGAACTAAAAGAGCAGAAGTGTATAAATTTAAATTATACACTTATAGTATCAGAACTTCTGATAGGCACTGAGAAGTGTGTCATAGCTTATAATGAACAGAGAGAAACCATCATTCGAAAATTCTGATAAACAGAGATCAGAGATGTATCAGAACTTTTGATAAACTGCGCTCAACAATGATTCGGAACTTCTGATAAACGAGAACAACAGCGTATCAGAACCTGATAAACAGTGAGCACCCGTGATTCGGAAACTTTGATCAGCTGAGAGCAATAGTGTATCAGTAATTTTTATGAACTAAAAGCTGTAGTGTATCAAAACTTCTTTTAAACTGAGAGCAATAGCGGAATTTCAGAACTTCTAATAAACTGACTGCAGGAATGTATCAGAACTGCTGATGAACTATAAGAGCAGAAGTGTATAAATTTAAATTATACCCTTACGGTATCAGAACTTCCGATAGGCACTGAGAAGTGTATCAGAACTTAAAATGAACAGAGAGAAACCATTATTCGAAATTTCTGATAAACAGAGATCAGAGATGTATCAGAACTTCTGATAAACTGACTGCAGGAATGTATCAGAGCTTCTGATGAACTATACGAGCAGAAGCGTATAAATTTAAATTTTACACTTATGGTATCAGAACTTCTGATAGGCACTGAGAAGTGTATCAGAACTTATAATGAACAGAGAGAAACTATTATTCGAAATTTCTGATAAACAGAGATCAGAGATGTATCAGAACTTCTGATAAACTGACTGCAGGAACGTATCAGAACTTCTGATGAACTATACGAGCAGAAGTGTATAAATTTGAACTATTTAGAGAATGGTCATGGATAAATATAAAATGAATTATTGTATATTAATAGGTCCTATGATGAGTGGAAGCATAGTAAAAGCTATTGGCTTCACAGGGTAAGTTTGAATTTTTGAAAATTCTTAAGTACATTAAATATTTTTCACTCTCAGAAAAATAGGTTCTACATTGAAAAAAAAATATCAGTACCTTGTAGCATAATGCAGTGCAAATTTGCTGCAACTTTTATAAGATGTTAAATTGGATCATCATTCGCCGTTTAAGTAGTTAAGTTAAACCATAGTATCGCATAACCAAGTTTAAGAAGTACGATTATATATTTACACTTAGCAGCAGATTAACGTTGCAGAAACTGCAGTTCAATAGAAAAATCCACGTAAGCAACAAAAAATTCAAAATTGAGATTTGTACATATTTGGCATCTTTATATGGTAAGCTACATATTTCAAAACGGTATCCGTGGCAGTGTGGCGTGGGTAATGTTGCTCACCTCCATGAGTTAGGTTCACAGGTGCCCACTCGGTAACGTAAAATGTGCAACACTTCCGGCATCTTCCGAGATGAAGATGTTCAGTGCCTGCCATCGAGAAGAAAAAAAAAAGTCTATAAAAAAAACTTCAAAAACAAGTTTTATCAGTTTTTTGAAATTCTATATCAGCGTTCATAGCATTAACAATAGAAGGAGACAAGTTGTCAAACCACTTTTCTCGGAATCAATTGTGAAGCACTTACGTTTTTTTGCGAAATACGATACCACGCTCTTCGAAATATCTAACGCTGTTTGCTCATTTTAAGCATGTTACGGTATGTCACTCCACTCAGCGTGTATCTAAAGCATACTGACTCATGTGGTATGTTATTAAAGAATATATANATATGTAGATTATGAGTCACAAAATTAAGCATGCATCCGCTTTCCATTATTAAAAGAATCGAATTTCACAAAATGATTAGAACAGGTTGTTTGTTTGTCCCGTTTCACGTGGTGAGGCTTGAGATTAAGCGAAGTCTTTCTTAAAGAATTCTTCATGTTTCCCTAAATTAATAATCAAGGAAAAAAATTCGTTTTCTTCTTTCAATGAATAAATGTTTTCATAAAATACATGCTTCTCTTTATCAACCTTATTTGGTTATTATTAAGTATCGACTATTATCAATTATCGATAAGTATTAATTATCGAACTATTATAACAGTATTGGATTATATTAGAAAAACAAAGTGTAGAGAACACCGGGCAATGGAACTTAACCTTAAAAAAAATATCAGTGCTAGAAAAACAAGGCAAAAGCTTTTAATTAAAAAAAAATCTGTGTAAAGAATCCTTGACATGTGAATTTGGCAATGGTTTTCAGATTTATGAAACATTAGTGTAATAATTAGTACTAATAACCACATCTCTAATATCCCTTAAACAACACCGATATTTTTCTTAAATTATACTTAATAAAAGAACATAATTTAAAAAGAAAATCTCCCTAGTAATGAAAAAAATAAAAAAAGTATTATAACCTTAAATTTGATGATGCATTGTGTTCGGCGTATAAATGATATTTTGAAGCAAAAGTTACATCGTTAGTTTACATCGTGAATTATTATATCACCGCCTTAAGCGAAAATACTAAGCGAGTCATTTTCCCACAGCCAGATTGAAAACAATTTTCGTCCACCATCTCAACGGTAAACGTCTAAATAGGAATATTAACACGACTCTACAATAATTTTTTAAAAACGCATATTAAACACTTCTTTCTTGTTCCTGTCAAAATGTCGGGGTGATGTTTCACCCTATAATTCTAGTGCCCGTGATATTTCCGAGCTGGTATGCTCAAGAGTAAAATGTCAAAACATATAAAGCAATCCATTTTTTATGACCGGAAACATATTTATTTCTCAACCCATACACCAGATGGCAGTGCCAGACTATTTGCCATGGGTTTAGAGATATTTTATTTTAAACTAGATGTCAGTATTCATCAAACATGTAAGTTAAAAATTAACCCTAAAATTGAGTATATATATTGTATATATACTTAGTTTTATAGAATTTCCTTGAATAAAAAATCGGCACTTTTATGACCGTTTTCTTCAAAATTATGAGCCCATCAAGTTGTTAATAAAAAATTATTACCGTGTCTTATTCATGCCATTTCATCGTCATCATCATCCTGGGTGCTACATACCTTACAAAGCCCCGATCTCCTTTAAGATCTTAGACCATTCTATTCTGTTGTTCGCCATTTTCTTGTAGTTGGCAATTTTAAATAAATTTAAATCCTCTTCTGTTTTCCATCTAGGTATTCACCTAAATATTAAACCTCCTGGTTTAATATATAGGCGAATACGTTCATTTATGACTTTATTACTCGTATTAATGACTAATAGCATTAAGACTTTATGCCATTTTCTTCCTCTTATTTACAGTTTAGTGTGGTGCATAGCAGTTGTTAGTTTCGTATATGCTCCTCTAATGTTTCTATTACGAAAACCACCTGGTAGAGCAGAGGATCAAGTAAGTACCATCAATTCATAATATCAGTAATTAGTGGAAAAAATGAATAGTTGGGGAACCTATAAGTCTCTTTATGTACAGCGAAGGTAATACTAAACAGTCACCACAAGTTTATTTTATTATTTAATGCTAAATGTGACGTTAGGTAAGGTTACATAAAACATTCGCATCCTTCACAGAGCTATTCACAACTATTTATTCAATTTTGAATTGCAAGTAGCTGGAATCGCTCATGTGACCCACATTCAACTCTCCCGGCAGCTCCTTCGCTCGACAGGTACGTTTGCCCGACAATACGAGTGCATATCATACATCATCCAATCATGGGCAAGCACCTAGTTCCAATTTTAAGGCTATATCCTTTAATAGCCATGGTAAGAATGCCACGTAATTTTGACACTGGTCAGACCTCAGCTGCTACTTTTCTCTTTTCAAATTTTCACAACCAACGGGAAAACTTTCAGCCACAACACGACAGATGAACGTTTTGACCGGTTGTTTGGTCGACCGTTAGGATAGAACTCACTTACCACTAGTATCACTCACTTACTCTTATATATATATATATA